ACGCCTGAAATTAAATTATTGTTAGATTCCTCGTATTATGGGATATATTGTTGTCCTGTGATGACACAAGGAATAATACTTGAAAACTCACCTCCGATTATCGAACCCTAATAATTCGAAGACGTTTTCATATACAGTTGGAAAAAAACTGATATAAATATCCTCCGAAGAGATAAGAAAACGGAATTCTCAACCTTCCAAATCAGCACTATTACGAATCCGTTTCTGTGAACATGTGATTTACAACCGCTTATAGCGTTTACGAAAATCCCTAAGTTAAATTCACAGTTCGAGTATCATTGTCGATTTCCAACTGAAAATGATTAAAATACCTTGGTCAAGGACCAACAAAGTTTCTAATTTTTCCGTTAGTGGCAGCAGCTATCGGGTGGTTGTTTATGATCTTAATATGAGCTATTAGTACGTGGGCAAGCGACAATAAATAGGTACCTTTTACGGATAACGTAACAACATTCATATGCAAATTAATAAACCAAAAATACTGAGACGTGGTTTTTTTGATGTTCCGGAACTGGCTACATATGCAACCCCATAATATTTTAATTTAATCAAATATCACCTGAATTAGACTGTTAACTATGTTTTTATCAAACGTTACCTAAATTTAATTTACTTTTATTTTTTATTATTAAACTGAGTTATTATAAAACGTTACTCGAATTTGTACCTATTGCTTTGATTTTTTTATTATTAAAATGTTTGAATACAATTTGTTGTTTTTCACTTTGCCCTCTTGAAAATTCCACTTTGCCCGCAACATGGCGGGCAAAGTGAAATTTGCACTCCCTTAGGTTTTTATTTTTTTCTTCTCAGATGACATTGGATTAGCAGTTTTTAGCTTACACATTGTGAATGTTTATAATATAGCAACCGATTGCCCATAAAATCATTTTTCTGGGTACACCACTAAGACCACAGGACAAGGTCAAACGTTAGCTATTCCGCTTTACCCGACCTTCCCCTACTAGGACGTTCAAGGCGAGGATCCTCATACCCCTCTTTTCGACCTTCTGTGAAAAGTCTGTACCACTTGTAAACATTTTTCTGACTCAGAGTACAATCCCCATTTTCACACAAAATTTGATGCAAATAATTTAATTCTTTTTTTTTCGATAGCAAAGACTAAACATCTGAAAATATGAACATATGTTCGAGACAAGTGAACCAAATTTTTTTTAATGGCTAATAGAATGTAGGTGGTCCGCGAAATTTGAACATTCACCTCATTTTTTTAAAAGTCCACATGTACGTGTACTTGGTAACATCAAACTGTTTCATTCATTTTATTTCTGAAGAACAACAGTTCGAAGAAATTTTGCAGATGGAAAATATATTCAAAGAATTCAAAAATTTCACAAGATTGAGAAACAATACTTTAGGTTCACAGGTTCAAAACACCGAATTCTAGCATATAGTTAGTTAACACTAAAGATCTGGGAAAGGCACCAACTACTATTCCTACACTAGAATCCACAATGCCGGAAATTACTTTTCGACAGCGTTTAGTCAGGCGAATTTCGAAACATCTCAATATCAACAAGGCGTCTGGTTCTGATGAAGTGTCCGTTATGGTACTTAAGAAGTGCGCAATTGAACTCTGACCAATATTTTGCAGACTTTTCAACCTGTCTTACAAGAAACGGGTTTTTCCTTCTTGTTGGAAGATTGCTCGCGTTCAGGCTATTCCCAAAGAGGGCAAAAAAACTCTTCCAAATAACTATAGACCAGTCGCTTTGCTATCAGTGATATCAAAAGTGATGGAGGAAGCTGTAAACCACCATATCATCAAATACATATTTGAAAGGCTTCAACATCTTGACGGATCATCAATATGGTTTTCGGAAACAAAGATCAACAGGCGACTTTCTATCGTATGTCACCCATATTTGGAATAACGCAATCGAGAAACATGGATAGTCGAGAGCTGTTGCGCTTGACATTTCTAAGGCCTTTGTCCGTGTATGGCATGAGGGTTTGCTGGTCAAACTTCGATGCAGAATAACGAATTATTTGGAATATAATAATATACTGTCTGATTCACAACACGGATTTCGGAGAAACAAATCTATCGAGACAGCTTCGTATCACTTACTAAGTTTTTAGTCCTATCTACGGGATCGAAAACAATATGTTCAGCTCA